CGGCTGCGTCAGCGCCCCGCTGTGGGGGGTGCCGCCTGGGACGCTCGCCCACCTAGGCCCCTGCCTGTCACACAGCTGCCACACGTCCTGACCGCAGGGGTGGGTTACTGAGAGAAGTGAGGGGCCGAGCCCGCCTGGGGGTTGCGGGTCTTCTGGCCTCTGAAGGTTCAGGTGCTGGTGAGTGTGTCCAGGGCTGGCTGGACCCACCTGTGTCTTTGGCCCCAGGCCCCCGCCATTTTGACTTTCAGGGTTTCTGCTCATGGAAAAGGCGGAAGGTGGGGTTTCAGGTGATGCTGACCCAGCCTGGGGACAGGCTGGTAACCACACCACCCAGAGCGTGAGGGGGACCGTCCGGCCAGGCTCAGAGAGAGGCTGCAGTGGGATGGGCCGAGGTGGGTGTCCCGGGCAGCCGGCCAGCAGGACAGCTGTGACAGCCCTCAGGCCAGCAGGGATGGGGGAAGGGGCGGCTATACTGACCCTGCAGGGCTACGCCTTGACTTTGGCCAAAGTCGGGGCCATCTGGACCTGCTGGGCTGGGGGCCACCAATCACCCCACACCCTCTCTGGGAAAGGCCCTGCTCTTGGAGGACAGGGCCAGGCAGGAGGGCAGGGGGTCAGGGACATCCTACAGGGCTCCCAGGGCTACCTGCCAGGGAAGGGTGGGGACCCGTCCCCTCTGCCCACAGGCCTGAGTCGTCGAGTTAGGCGCTGTACTTCCAACTTTTAAAGGAGGCACCTCTGTCCTCTATGGTGACACACATGGCAGCCGAAGCCCCTTGAAGTGGGTCTGTGGTTCCTCCCTCCCTCTGCTGGGGGGAACCAGCAGCCCTGTGGCCCAGGTGTCTCACTCTGCTTGTGCCTGCGTCTAGGGAGCCGGCCACCACCCGAGGGTGCACCCCAGGTTCAAGAGGAGGCGGCTCCCGCCTGCACACAGGGAGCCTCACCCTGGAGCTGAGTCCGTGTTTCCTGCCAGGCTGAGCAGGAACCACAGGCCTGGCGCTCTGGGGAGGCCAGGGGTCCAGTGACCCTGCCAAGTGGTCAGCACTCCTGAACCTGTTTCCCCATCTGTGCAGGGAACTGAAGACCCTCTCCTGCAGGTCTGTGCAGGATTAAGGGGGAGAATGTGGCCTGTGAGGTCCCACTCACGTGGTTGGGGCAGGGCGGGGCCCGTCCTCTTCTCTGCTTGGTCCTGCATCCAGACCCCACCCCAAGCTGCTGTCCCCTGCCTGGCCCAGGCCCCGGGCTGGTGAGGGCTCGGACCTGACTCTCAGGATGAGCTCTGCCCACAGGCATACCATGGGTCAGTGAGGGAAGGACCAGGGAGCGACCGAGGCGGGAACGAGACCATGGCCTTGGAAAGCCCTGGGCTACGACCCAGCTGCCGGCCCCCGCAGCAGAGCGGCCAATCCCTGGCTCGTGTAGGCAGGAAGGACCCCTAACCACACGCTCCTTAGCTCAAGACACCTTCACCCCTACCTCCACCCTTCCGTCCCCCCCACACCCACCCGTCCATTCTACCGCGCATCCCCTGCAGTCATCCACGGGTCGGTGTCCACAGCCTCCTCTGTGACAGGCGCCACTCGGAGTGTGAGACGGGGCAACGGCCACGCACGCCTGCGCCTCGGCAGCCTGTGCCCTGGGGGCTCGGACACGCCAGCTCCTGGCCTGATGGCGGCAGGGGCCGCGCCTGGCGCCCCTCGGGTCTGTCGCTGGGGTGATTCCGTTGGGGCCGGGGGGCCAGCTTCCCGTTCCAGGATCTGCCTGGTTTCTGGCCCAACCTGCCCCGTGGAAGTGCCTGCGGAACCAGGCTCCACCGCCAAGGGGACACGGGGAGGTCTGTCTTCTGAGGGTTTTAAACAGCCCCTGCCCCAGACACCTCTGGAGGGTAGATTCCTGGAGGTGAAGGTCAGGCACCGAGCAGGGGTCTCCCTGGAGGTCCTCTGCCCTCTGGTGAGGCCATTTCCACGGGGGCTCTGGGTGCTCCCTGCTCCTCCCTGGGGTCTGGGAGGCTCAGGAGGGGAGGGCGGGTAGGCTGCAGTCCGTGCGTGCTGGGACGCAGTGTCCCGGCTTGTAGCTCTCTGCTCCTGAAGCGCCCTTACAGCCGGGGGGTGGGGGTCAGACGTGAGCCACTTGTCCCCACATCCCCACTGGCAGGAAGCCCCTCCCCCCTCCCCAGGCTGGGGCACCTACGTGGGGTCCTCCCTGTGTGCCGGGGCCCCAGGGTCTGCGGAGTCACCCAGCAGGGGGTCGGGGAGGGTGAGGGGTTGCTCTGGGCACGACCTGGTGCAGCTCTGCACGACATGCAAAGACACCCGCTCGCACGTGCAGCCCCGGCAGGCGTGAGGCCAGCACTGGCGGGCTGGGGACGGGCATGGGTGCCCAGGGGCAGTCCAGGCCCATGGAGCTGAGGGTCCCCACCTGTGCCGCTTGCCCACCCCATGATTACTGTTGTTCACACTCCTGGATCCCAACCCGGCATGTTTATTTCACACTGGACAGTGAGGCAGCGCCTGGCTGGGGGAGGAAGCACCTCATCCTTCAACAGGCATCTGGGTGGAGTGACCAGTCTGCGGGGGGAGACAGAGCCTCAGGACGGAGGGGTGGGGTTGGAGGGAGAGAGGGGGCGGAGCCAGAAGGGAGACTGAGACACACACACACACACACACACACACACACAGAGGAAGAGGAGGAGGGGCAGGAGGGAGGGAGGAAGGGAGCCTGCAGTCCCGTCAGGGGAAGGGGAAGGGTGGGGCTGAGGGACATGCACCCCAGGGCGCTGTCCTGCCCCCAGCCTGGGCTCCTCAGGAAGCGCCCCACCACCACCTCGGGTCCCCAGACTCACTGCAGCCCTGGGCACCATGGGTGTGCGGTGCGCATGCTTGGGAGCCTGTGTGCGCTGGAGTGCCTCTCTCCCTGTGCACACGCATGTGTGCATGGCATATGCTCGTGTGTAGGCTCTGCACGTCTGTGTGTGTGCGTCTGTACGTGTTTTGTGCACATGCCTGTCAGTGGATGTGCCTGTTCTTGTGCACGTGCAAAGGGCCAGAGGCAGGAAACAGTGGGAAATGCTCCTGGAGTGAGGAGGGGGTGGCCTAGGTTGGGGCCTGGGTGGTGGGGGGAAGACCAAGGAGTCATGCAGCCTAGTTCAGGCTCAGGCTGAACACTTGGGGGTGCCGGGACCCCACATGTGACCTCGAGTGCAGGTTGTGGCCCCCCCCACCACAGGGCCACCGCAGGGCTTCGGGGGCCCAGGGGCAGACGCCCACTCTCAGTCCAGGCCCCCAGCGCAGCCCGGGAGCCGGCTACCTGTCAAGTCTGGGAAGACGATGTTGTTATCCGAGAGGCCCTGCGCTCTGACCAGGCAGACGAATTTGTCCAGCACCTCAGTCTGTATGGCCCACATCCTGCCTGGGGCCCAAGGAACAAAGCGTGGCCTTCAGCCACTAGGGTGGGTAGTGAGTGGCGGGTGGCCCCTGCCCTGAGGCGCCCCCCTCCTTCCCCCTCCTTCTCCACCGTGGCTGCAGGGCGAGGGGCTCACACAGCAGGTAGATCCTGAGGATCCCCTGGTCACTGGACTGTCTCCTGGAGAGCACGAGGGCAAACGTGGTGTAGTCAGTGTCGTACACCTGGACCTCCTCTGGGTCTCCCCCGGGCACTGGGGGTGTCAGGGCCACAGAGTCAGGGTCCTCCCACCAGCACCCCCAGGCTGTCCTCCCCTCTGCCCACCGCCTCACCTCCGCTGTTGTCCACCGAGAACTTCCCAGGCTGGGTCTCCGAAATCAGTACATAAGACCAGGTCACACAGCGACGGCCCCTGTCGGGGTGGGGGAGAGGCAGAGGAGGAAGGTTCCAGAGCCTGGCTGGGCCACCAGTGTCGTCGCCTTTCACAGGGGCTGCCCAGGCGGGCTCACCAGGGGAGCCCCTGGTCTTGAGCCCTGAGCAGAGCAGGGCCTGGCCGGCTGGGGACTTTGCCTCTCCCTGGAGGGGTGTCTCCGTCCTGGTCTGTCAGGTGTCTGGACCGCCCCCTCCTGGAAGAGTTGGGGGCGAGCTCTCCCCTGTGCAGCCTCAGTCCAGCCCCCCCACCCTGTGGACCACTCCCCAGCCTGGAGCAGGACCTGAAGTGTGCTCGGAGGAGAACCTGACTTCTGGGCAGCAAGGGGCCCTGAAGGAGAGCTGGGGGCCAGCACCCCAGCCAGCAGCCCTGGGCTTTGGGCAAGGTGGGGCGAGCGAGAGGGCGGAGCTGGGCCTGGCCTCCCTCCCTCCCTCTCCTCAGTCCCCAGTGAAGGGCCAGGTGCATGCACTTGCCTGAGAAGCAACTGGGCCACATCGCCTGGCCTGCCGGTGGGGGAGCGCTGGGGCTGCCCACAAGGCTTCCGAGGCTGCTTCTGCCCCGGGTCCCTCTCTCCCCACCTAATCAGCCTCCGAGACGCCCAGGCGGGGGTCCACCGCGGCTGAGCCCACACAAGGCTCTGAGGGCCGGAGGCGGGCCAGCGCAGGGGCTGGGTGCTGTCCCTCAGAGGCTGCACTGAGTCCCACTCTTGGCCTCAGGAGCTGCCCCTGGCGGACAGACCACCTTGCTTAGGCTTCTGGTTTCACACTACTTGGAACCAAACAGCCCTAAGCAAAGGGGTCTCTGGCAAGTGAGCAAGCAAGGCCACGGAGCCTGCAGGAGGGGCTGCCAGGAGAGGGGCCCTCGCAGCAACAGCCCCCCCCAGGAGGGCTGCACCGCCCTCCAGGGGCTCCCAGAGCTGTCCATCACGGCTCCCCACTTCCCCTCAATGGGGCGTCCAGGCCAGCCCACCAGAGCGCCTGCCACCCCAGACGGTCCTGGAGCAGCACACGGCTCAAGAAGAGCCAATCAGACACCACCAGCAGGCCGGCTTGGGTGTTCCCTCTTTTCTGGAATTGGGACCCTGAGAAGGACAGCAGTGTCAGCCACTGTCTTACCCCTGTGAGGTGAGAACCTGCTCGAACAGAAATCTAGGGCAGGCCAAGCTAAGAGAAGGAGAAAGAGGGGGTGATGGGGCCTGGATCACAGCTTTGAGCTGTTGGATCCAGCTGTACCTGAAATCCATTAGCCCACGGGCTCTTCTGAGTCTGTAATCTAGTAAGTGCCTGCCCTCGTTTGTGTACACCCCCAGAGCTGGACTGGGTCATTAGCAGCCCATGCTGGAAGTCACATTAGGAAGAAGGCCTGGGGAGAATGTGGCCCAGACCCAGGGTGGGCCCGAGTCACAGAGCCATTGGCTTCTAGGGGCACAGGCCCAGCGCCCTCACTCACCGGATCATGGCATACGACACTTCAAGGCGGCTGTCTTCACGCAGCTCGAACGTTGCTGTGAAAGGGCTCAGCAGGGACCTGTCCACAGTCCTGTGGGTGCTGCCTGCCAGGCCGAGGACGAACCACAGCCCCTGGAACTGCAGGAGGCTGGGGGTGGTGGAGTCCAGGAGCCCCCAGGGCCCCTCCCCAGACAACGGCTCCGGCTGGGCCCAGCCCGCTCCCACAGGCAGGACGCCTTGGGTCTGGCAGGGGGTGGTGATCCTGGCCCATGGCTGGCTGCTCTGAGCCTCAGGTTCCCATGTGTGCAGAGGGACTGAGATGTCCCCACCTCACAGGGACTGGCAGGGATTACAGAGGGAGTGGCGGGCCCTGGAAGGTCTCTCTAGGGTCCCCTTCTGTTGGAGGTCAGGGTAGGGGTGCCGAGAGCAGGAGTGGCTAGGCTGGACTCCCCTGGCAGGCATGGTCCTCCTCTCTCCCTGCACTTGGACCTCGGCCAGCTGCACCCCCCTCCCGACCAGCTCCTGACCTGAGCTGCTTGGAAGCTCCGCAGAACTGAGCTGCTGAGTGCCTGGTCCGCGGTCAGGCCCCTCAGGTCTCTCAGCAGGGCCAGCAGCACCCACAGGGCACACCAGGGCCCCATCCCAGCCAGGACAGAGGCAAGAAAAGTGGCCGTCGGTGCTGCTGGCTCAGACTCACCTCTTTATGTGCCTGCCTGGCAGGCGCCCCTCCCTGGAGGCGGGCCCCCTTCACCCTCTGCCTCAGGGCAGGCAGGAGAGGTGGGCGCAGAGGGCCTGGGAGTGGGCTAGGCAGGGGCGGGGCCCACCTCAGATCCAGCCCACCAAAGGTGGGGGCCTCTGGGTCTCAGCCTCGGGAGGGGGTCCAGCAGCCCCCAGGGAGGCCCCTGAGCCTTGCACTCTGATTTCTGAGACCCCCCCCAGCTCTGCACCCCATTGGCCCCCTTCCTGGGGGTCTGAGGCTGGCAGTGGCTCCCCCACCCAGCCCTACCTCCCCTGCACCCCTGCGACTGTGCATGCAGAACATGATGCTCCCGCCCCAACAGGAAGCACGACCTATCCCAGTCCCCAGGGGTCAGGGCCGCGGCGTTCTTGCAATAGGAACACGGTGCAGAGCCTGGACCTGCCAGCCCCTACGCTGTTCTGCACACCTCCAAAACCAAGTTGGAAGAACTGGGCCAGGGGTTCCGCAGTCATGACATGGGGAGAGCAAGGGCCAGGGAAGCCCAGCCTAGAGGGGGTGGGCACCCACACGCTGGTCCTGGGGGCTGGAGGGCAGTCGGGGAGGAGGGGGGCATGCTCTGGGCATGTGGCCCACCCCAGCCACCCTGGAGGGAAGAGCACAGCCTGCCCTCCCTCAGGCCGCCGGGTGTGTGCGTGGGCCCCACAACAGCGGGAAGGGCCTACACCTGACCAGGGAGTGTGTCCTGGGCCACCTCCCCCCGCCCTGGGCCTGGGGCGGCTTGTCCTGAGCAGGGGCTCGTCCGGCCCGGGTGGGGGTCTGGGGAGCCAATCCCCATTCCTTGAACTCCCTGGGGGAGAAGCTGCAAACGTCTGGGTGGTTCTCCATGACCTTCCACAAAGACCCCTTAGCCTCGGGCAGAAGCTGGGGCAGCAGCTCCCTCCCAGACCTCAGAGTGCCTGGCCTCCACCTCCCCCCTGCAGGCACCAACCCCACCCCAGTGATCCCCGCCTGACCCTAAACCCTTCCAAGGACCCACTGAAACCAGCCCTCTGTGCCGGGACACCGGGCTGGGGTGCACCAGCCTGGCTGGAGGCTGCTGCCTCCCCGACACCGTCTTGTCCACAGGGTGCTCTGGGGAAGTTTGGAGCGCAGTGTGTCAGCATGGGACAGCGGCCCCTCCCCAAGTACCCCCACCCTGCCAGGGCCCCATGACGACCTGGCCTTCCCTGGTCAGCACGGGCCTTGGCACAAAGTGCCTGCAGCAGTGGAGGCCAGGGACGCCCTCGGTTGGACAACAGGTGCCCTAGGCCTGGGCTCCCCACCCCGGCCCCCTGCTCCCTCCCCTGCTCCACCAGCTCCAGTGCTTCCACCCTGGTGTGGGCCCAGCAGAGTAGGACCGCAGATGAAAAGTCAGCTTCCATAGATTTTTAAAGACATTTTTTCTTCTAAAGTATTAAAAACCACCTATTATAATTAAAAGGCAAAAATCAATTATTACATTTTTCCATAAAAACGACTCACCTAGAGCTACAACTGTTTCACTTAGTTTTTGAAAACTCATCTAGAGCTCATTAGACGTTTACGTGCAAATAAAACGCATCATGATGGTAGCACTCCGTACCTGCCGCCCCCCACCCGGGTAAGGAGCCGACTGGGAGGCCTGGGAGGGCAGGCGGGGCTGCTCTGTGGCCACGCGGCCCTGCTGGACAGACCCTGCTTCCCCAGAAGCCCCGAGAGCGGGGATCTGACGAGCCTCGCCCACGGCCCGAACCCACCCACACCGCAGAACAGAGGCCTCGTTTCTGCCCGGGAGGCACGGGGCCAGGCGTGCGGGGGGCTCTCTGGGGCACCGTCAGCTCTCAGCCCGGACCGTGTGACGCAGGTGCCCTGTGGCCTCCAGCTCTGCTCTGTGGGGTCCCTGCCTTCCCTGCTTCCCAGAGCCCGATCTCTCTGCCCTTCTGGGAGTCCAGTGCTGAGGGACACTGGGTGGGCACAGCCCAGTAGGGTGTCAGGAGCGGTCCCTACTCACTGTGGGCTCCTTCCAGGCTGGACTGGGTCAGTGAATGAGGAGGCGGGTGGGCAGGCAGGGGGGGACCAGGGGCCTCTGACCCTGCTCTCCAGGGACCAGGCAGTGGTCCCCTCTGCTCTGTTATCATCACCTGGGGTGGCCTGGTCCTCCCCCTAGCCCAGGGGGGAAGCTGCTGGAGGGGACAAAATGGGGGCTGGGGTGGGGGTCCAGCCCTGGTGCCCCCTCAGCCTCACCGGAGGTCCGAGTGGCCAGGCCTGGACTTCAGGCCCCCCCAGGACCTGCCCATCCGTATCGCCCAGGACCTGGCCGATGCCAGTGGGCACTTCAGGAACACTACGGGTCCCCAGGACGGGGTGGCCGTGGGGCCGTTTCCCAGACCAAGCTTTGGCC